GTCGTTGGAGCCGTCGAGGTAGATGCCCCAGTAGTGGTAGCCGTCGCAGGTGGCGGAGTAGTCGGACTCGCCGTCGATAAAGCAGTTGGAGATTGTCACGCGGTTGTCGGCCTGGGTGCCGAGGACGATGTGCTGGCGGCCAATACGGGCGGTCTTGGTTGCAGCGTGTTAGTAATGGCTATTATTCGACCGCGGGGTCTATTGGAGACAGAGGGGGAGGTACAGTAACGTGGTCGATCCAGACCAGGTCGCAGTCGTTGAGGGTGATAGCGTCGCCGCCCCAGACGTACTTGGGGTTGATGTCGGTGATGGCGATGTTTCTGGTTTCTTGTGAGTGGATTGTTCCGATCATGGACGGAGGGACAGAGAGGGGAATGGAAGGAGACATACTGGATGATAATGTTGCTAGCGCCACTAACAATACGCAGACCCTTGCCCTTGATGACACCTGCGTCTCCCTGGCCAAGGAGCGTTTTGTCGGAGTTGACGGTGATACCAAGGGTTCCGGCGTTGTCGCTGCGATCAAATAGAGTGTGTTAGCCCTTGAGTTGCTCTCCGCGTGATAGACAACACATGGGAGGATGAAAACCCACTAGGTGACAGAGACAGAAGGGGCATCAGGCTGGTAGTTTGTGCACCAGTCGTTCTGGTTAATGGCGACCTGACACGCGGCGTCGGTGCCCCAGGGAGCGCAGCCAGTTTCGGATCTTGTCCCTTCGCTGTTGGTGAAGTCGAAGCTGTCTTGCGGGTTAGCATTTGATTTCGCTATCAGTAAAGGCCGGTTGGCCAGTTGAGCAGGGTAGTTACGTCTTTGTGAGAACGATGACACGGGCCTGGTCGTCTCCGAGGTACGAGACCAGCTCGTCGATGGAGTCAGGGTAGACAGGGGAGGCGTTGCCACCGCCTGTCACGCCCTTAGCGAAGCCCTCAGCTGCTCCGGTGACGCTGATGGCGGATGCGGTGCTGCCGAGGGCGGCGGCGGCCAGGGAAAGCAGGGAGATGGCTTTCATGGTTGGTAAAAAAGGAATGGAATTGGCCACCCAGTGGACAAAGTAAGAAACTATAGACAAAAGAGCAATGTAAAGAGAGACTTGTTTGGCAGAAGAACGGCTACAGGAGCTTGGAAAAATCGCAGGCTTTATATCCTTGGCTGGTGTTGGCTTGTTTTAGGCAACAGTGCTCCTACCGTAGTTCTAATCAACTGGGAACAGGGGCGGATGGGTACATTGGGGATCCATCAGCGGTATCAGATATAGAGAGAGGAAGTTCTACGGGCTATGGGCCATGGTACGGTGTGGTCTCCACAGAACACCTTAAGAGCATGCCGAAATCAGCCGGGGCCGGAGGAAATTGTCCGTGTTTCAAGATGAGGCCCGGCAATTGATGGGAGTTCCTGCAAACAAGCAATTCCTCCGTCTTGGCAGGAGCTGCGATGTGCTTGTTGCTTCTTGACTGTTTTATCCGACGATCCGCTGTCAATTGGCACCGCTGGAAAGTTTAGGCTGTGAATAGTCCAAAACTGAGGCCGTGCATTGGGCTGATTTCACCGGCTGATTTCACCGTGCGAGTGATTATCATATCGGAGTGGAGAGGATCGCTGGTTAAGAGGGTATTGAGAGATCGATCCTTCTTGTCAACTCTCGAAAACGATCAGCTAAGAAGAGTTCCAGAGCTTCTCCCGAGCTTCTGGTCGACCGTTGGCATTATTACTGTAGCATCTTCAAATCCGACGGATCCACAGTGGATATCAGTTTGACTCCTTGATCCACACGGCATGACTCCAGGCGCTGGGATATCCACGTGGACAGTAGACCGTAGACCAGGGGGGGCACTTGAGGTTGTCCAAATGAGCCTCGGCCATCTTGAAGCACTATAAGTGACATTGGTTAGGTGATGATTTAAATGAGTATTGTATTTCTTCTCTCAGGGTTTCAGAGAGCCAAACTGCGGACAACAGATTGGAGGCCATGATCAACCAGAGACGTCGGAGCAGACTTCCAATAACGTCTTGGTCTGGGAGGCCGTGTAGGGGTAGTGCCCATGAATTAAAGACTTGAATGCGCAATTCCATCAAGCAGCCTTTGATGGGGTGAGACCATGGGGAATAGTCAGATTGCCGCGGCACTGTTTCTTTTGATTTAGACTAACCTCCTGAGTTCGGCATGTAACACTCAAACTGATACTTCTGGATCAGGGATGGAAATGCAGGTGAGGTGGACTGGCTGAGGACTTGAAAATCGACGGTGGTTGAATTACTCTAGCTGTGGACAACGGTACTACTCCGAATTCCTGCTGGATGCCTTGTGACTTGTTTGTGCCTCAGGCAATAGAAACGTTACCTCTATACCCCAATGTATGCCTCGTTGCCTTGTTGCCTGCTCGCCTAACGGGTCACGAGCGTCGGCACGGCATCTCGGCTCCTTTTCTCCATTGAGTTACTCCGGAAATTCAAGGTGTTGTCGGAGATCACGGCCGGACATATCAGACGCTCCAGAAAATGTCAGTAGATTTAGATGCCTCTTGCGGAGTATGCTCTCATGCGCAATGGGGCTGTACAGCCTCTGATAATATAGAAGCAGTAAGTGTTCGCATGTCACTGTGATCAACAGGACGGCAACAATGCAGGTGTTCTGTACATTGCCTACCTTAGCCGTGTCCGCCCGACGCTTGTAATTAGCTGACATTTGATTGGCGTATGCGGGCTGAGTCAGCAGTGGCACCGCCAGACCCGAGGTTACTACCTGCAACGGGCAGAAAGACGAGCTCTTCGTGACGATTGACCATCTTGAATCTTGATCTCGCCTCCCACAGACTTCACTTGGTCATTGTCGCTGGCCCGGTTGCTATCTGTGGAATTCCCTCCTCTCATTCTTCTCTGTCTGTCTACTACTCGCCTGTACTCTATCTCCGTTTCGCATTTCGCCCCAAAATCGAGTGAAGCAAAAAAAAAAAAGTCACAATGGCATCTCTTCGCACAACTTCGCGCATTCTCGCCTCCTCAAGGCCCCTTTTCCGCCCTGCGACCTTTGCTCGCACCTATGCGACAGTCGAGTCTGGTGCCCAGGTGAGCAGAACACGACCGGACATGTGCCATATGTTGTTCGGCCACTAAGACTGGAGTGTGTGCAGGAGCCCGCGCCTAGGGTCAAGAAGTTCCAGGTCTACCGCTGGAACCCCGACCAGCCCGCCGAGAAACCTAAGATGCAGACTTACGAGCTGGACCTCAACAAGACTGGCCCTATGATGCTGGATGCGCTCATCAGAATCAAGAACGAACTCGACCCCACCCTGACTTTCCGGAGAAGTTGCCGTGAGGGTATCTGTGGCAGCTGTGCGATGAACATCGACGGTGTCAACACTCTCGCTTGCTTGTGTATGTCGCCAATCGTCGCGCAGCTTGGAACACTCACGCTGACCCCGTTACAGGCCGTATTCCCACCGACACCACCAAGGAGTCCCGTGTCTACCCGTTGCCGCACACCTACGTCGTTAAGGATCTTGTCCCCGACATGACCCAGTTCTACAAGCAGTACAAGTCCATCAAGCCGTATCTCCAGCGTGATACCAAGACTGAGGATGTAAGCAGCGCAACTACAACTGATTTTTCTTTCCTGAATGCTTACGGTATTCTCTTAGGGCCTCGAGAACCGTCAAAGTCCTGAGGAGCGTAAGAAGCTGGATGGTCTCTACGAGTGCATTCTGTGCGCCTGCTGCTCGACCTCTTGCCCCTCGTACTGGTGGAACAGCGAGGAGTACCTCGGACCTGCTATCCTCCTCCAGTCCTACCGTTGGTTGGCCGACTCCCGTGACCAGAAGACCGCCGAGCGCAAGCACGCTCTCGACAACAGCATGAGCGTCTACCGTTGCCACACAATTCTCAACTGCACACGGACCTGCCCCAAGGGTCTTAACCCCGCCCGGGCCATTGCCGAGATCAAGAAGATGATGGCTGCTCACTAGAGTGCCGGAAGATAGAAGGCAAAAAAGATCAAAATTGTTTCGTTCTCGTTCCCTTCTAGCATATGAGGTCTCTTTTTCTTTTTTTCGTTTGTACCCTTCCTACCAGCCTTACGCTTTTTCTGATCTAGCTTTTATTCCCTTGACGTTGGATGTTTCAATAGGTGTAAATGTGTGAACGTTATTTTCTAGCACTCTGGTGGTTATGAATGCAGCTATATCATATTCTGTTGCTCTTACATCAAATAAATCACTTAGGACATAGATCTCAGCCAATATATGGTGTCGCTTCAACTGGTCCAGGTTAACTGTCACAGGATCCTGGCAATCAATTCGGGGGCAATGGGACAGGAACTCTACTCACATGCCAGAATTGCAAGGCCGTCATGGCTGCGTTCCCCGCGCCCGTCGTCCCTCCATCTGGGGTAAAGCAAGGCGGGGTGTTAATGTTATATGTATCACAAGATCTATTTATATATATCTAGCCCTGTACGTAGCTCTATTAGGGCAAGGTTCGGGCCGATAATGATTGCGTGCTAGATTAAAAAAGTATGCAAATCTATTTGACGTCTGGAGTTACTCCAGATATATTTCTATGCTTATTAAGTCAGGTTAATACCTAGTTAGCAGCTCAGGGCCATTGTAGCATTAACATTTCCCAGGTGATGTTTCCAAGTTCTTACATACCTAGAGCTTTGTCGCGGGAAATGAAAGCGGCAGTCGGCAAATTAAGCTGGAGGATTACCGACTAGGTTACGGGTATTGTAACGAGCCATTGATTACCACCCCTACCTACGTACGTACTGATTAGTCCCTATTTGAGACACACTATGTGCACGCCTTCCTGAGAATATTGAATCGGCACAATGGAATGCCAAATATGTCTTCCAGCGAGTTAGGTTGTACTTTGGCGATGCCTATCCAGAAGCATAGATGCAGCACCTCATGTGGACACCGCACCCCGCTGGGAAATGCAAGTGATTTTGGACCGTAAAATTCTGTTCTGATTGATATATAGCAAATCTTAAAAAGATAAACAAAATGGGCTGTTGGCACAGGGGTAGCGCGCTCGCTTCGCATGCGAGAGGTCGTGGGTTCAATTCCCACACAGTCCACTTTTTTTTTAATGTTTTCATACCACTCACTCACTCTTCACTGTGGAATGCATTTAATATACTTTGAACACTATATATCTTTTCGGCTATTTTTCCTATAAGTGTCTCCTTCCTTCCCAAAGAGGGGTGCAGTCTCCACCCGTCATGGCTTATCCTTTGTCAATTTGACAGATCAGCGTTATCATCGGTAAGGTAGCTGGCATGGATCGTGTTACACTCACCCAGTCTACGCTGTTCCTGATGATCAGAGCTCTATACATACCTCACTTCACTGTTGAATTAGCAATAACTATATGTTTGCCCAACACCATTTGCTGTTCGTGAGGAAGGTAGGCAGACCTATCCAAATCACTCTCATTGGAAATGCCAATGGCAGGGTACTTCACATCTGATCTAAGTCAGGGCTTACGTATAAGCTTGATTCCCGTCAGTCCTTGCTGCTTCTGCTTTTGGTAGTTATCATGCAGCATTTAGCGGCGGGGACCTTATGTGCCTGCTTCGCTCGTCGAGACCCCGCATAGCTAGAAAAGCTCTCGGGATACATAGGCCATAGCAAATATATATATAGTTAGCGCTCGACACGATTCGCTGTTCATGCGCTCAGCGAACCTGCTTGCGTAAGAAAATCTAGGCATTTAAGCAGCAAGTAGCTAATAGTAATGATAACAACGGTGATGTACGGCAGTATCAAAAGTAAAACTTTACCCGTAGGACCATGCGAGACAAGGAGCTACGAGCGGTGGTAATCATGTCCAGCAGTAAGTGTTTTATTACACTAGCCCGCTAGCGGGAATCGTGATTTCGACTGCGTACAGATACGGCACCTAGGAATAACAATCTTCTAGTCCACAATAATCAGCCCCGGACCGTACACGGTCGATTCAGAGACAGCAGCGGCGTTGGCAAATGGACCCTGGCGGTTGACAACCGATGCAATCGTCAAACCGTTCATGAGGAAATCATCGTAGGGGAAGAGGGCGACAGCAGTAGACTGCCGGCCGTCACAAGTAATGACCTGCAAGGGAACGACAACAGGCGAGTTCAACTGGTTCACATAAGCCAGCCATAGAAGGGTTTCATTCTTCTCGTCTTTCCCGTGGGTCCATGAGAGCTTTATCTTTGATGTCTTGGGCTCGGGGGTAGTCAAGATCTCCAAAGGCAAGAATGTCTTGAGGACGATATCCTTCACGTTCGGACAGCTGCCAGCTACAGTGAAGGACTGAGCAGTGGTGAACCCCAAGTGCGCGTCGCTTGTTGTTAACAGTGGGGTCTCGCTGGGATACAGGTCCAAGTACACTCGGAACCAGCCTTGCTGTGCGCCAAGGTTGCCGATGAGGGAAGAGGTCAGTCGGGCAAGGTAGACGTCACCGTTGGCAGCGAAGCGCTCCGTCACGTCCTGAAGATGCCCGAGCGAGTATGATGTTGACATGGAAGCAAGCTTAATGGCGTCGTCCATTTTCGTGACCGGGAAGTTATAACGGCAGGGTTCGATGGGCTTGAGACCGAAGTGTTTGAGGGCGTCATTGGCCATCAGGGCATGGATTTCTCTTTGCTATTGGGAAATTAGTATACATGACCATCTTTTCCAGGAGAAGGCAGCTTACGGCAAGGATGGTTTCCAGGCTGCGGATGGCAAACTCTCGCTCAACCGCATTGCGTACTGCATATCCCTCGATGCTGTGTGTGATGTTCCAAAGAAGCTCGTTGAAGAACGCCACAGCCTGAAAGCCGTCGAAGGCCATCATCTGCAGACCGGCGACACCTGGAGCACTGACATTGGCAGGCAGAGGCAGCCCTGGCATGGACCCATGGGCACGGTGCTCAATTTTCTGCAGCTGCTCTGGGCTCGGATTGGGAAGACCATCAGGCAGAGGCAGATTGCCAGGCCCTGGAGTGGGAGCTGCGAGCCCAAAGGGCACAGCGGCCATCAGAGCAAGAAGCTGCGAAGTGAAATGCATTCTGATGATGAGAGTAATAATAACGAGTAGTAGGTATGAATGGAAAACAGAAAGAAAGTCTAGGAGTGTACCAGGAGGTCGGTCGAGGAAGAATGAACAGGACAGAGAGAGAAGAAGAACAACAACTTAAGACGAAGAAGAAGAAGAAAGAAGAAGAAGCCGGGGGATTATCGAGGTCTGCCTTCGCCCAGTGCACCTTCCTCAATTGTCTCGACAGTCTGACATACTGAGCAGGTGCCCGGCCCTGACCTCCCGTCCCGTCAGGGGGTGCACCTTCCCAATACAGTCATCCTTGTTCAGGGAAAGAACTCCTCCATCCATGACCTGGATCTAGGTAACCACCTAACCCATCCATGAGTTCCGCCTCCATCGCCCACCTGGGCGTCTCCCATCAAGAAAGCAACTCTTACGCCGCCTGGCCCTCAGCCCGGTCTTAGCTCTATCTCCGACATCATATACTTCTCGACATGGCGTGCCATTGGGCGCCTGCTCACCTCCGAAAGTCTATCTTCAGCCTTTAACTTGCATGTCACACTCTCTCTGTTCTCATCACCATCCATTCCACTATACAACCCCCACAGCAATTATCTGTCGGTATCATGCCCAGCCCCAAGTACAGTCCGCCAACCTTCAGACTCGGAGACTTACCCCCCGAGATAATCGTGTGCATCGCCGAGCGCCTCCCGCCAGAAACCGCTGCCTGCCTCGCCCTGACCTGTCGCTCGCTCCAGGCAATTCTCTCCGGCTTCCTCAAAGACCCTACCCTTCAATTCCCCCACCGACTAGATCTCAACGGCGAAGACTGGCGCATCGCTCTTCATAATCGACAACTAATGCCCCAATACGGCCCGTGTGTCCCACCACGTCAAAAGCTTCTCCGCCTGCTTGAACATGACAACAGCGATCGCTACCTCTACTGCTCTCGCTGCATAAAGCTCCACCCCATCCGGGACTTCTCATACGTCAATCGAAAGTGGACGTTAGCGAAAGATCGTTGCTGCAAACTCGGCCGGAAAACTACAGTTATCGACCTCTGTCCCGGCGTCTCCATTAATTTTCAATCAAGGCGGTCGCTCTACTCGGTTCCAGTACATAAACGATGCTACTTTAATCCGGTACAGTCATTTTTCGTACAGCTATCCTACGGCTGCATAAAACAAATTGACGTCGGGCTCTTGATTCACCCGGTCCGCAAGAGGAAGATTTTAATATCCATCCGTTACTCGTGGCCAGTTAGCAGGCGGGGATTAAAGGCAAAACCTGATATGCATACCCACGTGCCCTTAATCGTCTTCTGTCCGCATACATCGATTTACTTCTCGTGTATCGAAGGAAGGGTTGACGCTGGAGAACCATGGGACCGCTCGACCTGTCGTCGTTGCCGCACTAGCTGGAAGGCTTACCAGAGAGAGTCTCGTTACTATGTTGAAGTGTGTCTCGACCTCGGGAAGAATCGTCGTCGTCCGAGCAAGAAGTGGCTGCAACATACGAGTAGAACTTATTATGAGAGACTGGGACGCACAATCTAGTTTCCATCTAGGGTGAGTTCAGTGTGACAACTAGCTATATCAGCTAGTCTAGTTTACTATAAAATGGAAACAAACAAGTTATAAATCACCGAACAAGCAACGAAGAAACCCCGCCGAGGGCAGATACCCCCATAATGAATCGCCAAACAACTCTGAATCCATCCAAAAACAACTGACCCATCCCCTCCCCATCATCCGACGACGGCGTAAGCCCACCCTGCTGAACCAAACTCTCCGTGTCCTCACCAACACTCTGTGCCATCTGCGTCAAAACAATCGCCCCACTAACAGGAACCGCAATGCACATCCCCCACGTCCGAAGGATCGAGTACATAAGAATCGCAAACGCGGTACTACTCCCTCTCGCCCGCCGAGGCCCGGGTTCTTCCTGTCCCTCTCGTTTCCGGAGCGGCGATTGAGCATGTGAGCACGCCAGATAACCCGAAACCAGAAGCGCATGGCTGACGCCCGTAGCGAAGAAGATGAATACCCAACCCGGTGTCGGTGTACTGGCGTCAAGAAGAACGAAGCATCCCGCTGCAAGAAGGCCCAGAGCCCAGCCGGCACGGATAAGCCAGCGAGAGCGAAAGGGAAATCTGCTGTTGTGCAGCCTCGCTGTCAGGAGGAGGATTGGAAGGACGGGGATTGTGACGGCGAGGATGCTGATCCCGGTAAAAAGGGAGGAGAAGCGTTTCACAAAGAACACGTACAGGGAGAGGTTCTGAAGATGGCAGAGTAACTATTCCGTTTCATCAGCGGGGGGAAGGTTACACCGATGATGGGGCATGAGGTACTGACCATGAGCCCATAAAGTAAACTGCCAATATACAACATGATGGTAGATATGGAGTTGAAGATCCCAAGATTGAACATCGGTTGCGCCACCCAGATGCTCTCGTAGAGCACCAGGGCGACCATGGACAACCCGCCAATGCTGCTCGTGACCAGAATGCGCCAATCGTCACCAAGCGATGATTGCCTCCCTAGCCAGCTGACGCCTATCAGAAGAGAACCAATGCCCATGAAGGTTAATACAGCTCCTAACCAGTCCATCTCACGTGCTGCATGTCTGGAGATGCTCTTGCATTCTCGAAGGTCAATGGCGAAGGGAATCACGAGCAGGCCAAGGCCACAGAAGATGTAACTGGCGTAGAAAGTGCAATTCCAGTTGCCGTACCTGCCAAAGAAGCCACCCGAGACTGGCCCAAGCATCGCCCCGAGTGCCCACGCCCGACAGATATAATCGGAGAATCGGACACGTCGCGGATAAGGGATGAGATCGGTCACCAACAGTAACGAGACGGCCATGGCGCCTCCGTTGCCCGCCCCCTGGACTAATCGGCCTGCGACTAGGCTAGGCACGTTCAAGGAGCCACTGCATACCCCTGTCCCTGCTGTGGCTACCACGACGGCAACGATAAGAACCGGTCCTTGGCCGAAAACTTCAGAGAGCATGGCAAAAAGTGGTTGGCTTGCTGCATTCGCGAGGAGATAAGACGTGTCTACCCAGAGA